TTACATTTTTGTCTTGAGTTTCAGAGATCTCAGGATTGTTCTACTGTTAAAATTCTTTGTGCACTTTGGAACTGCCAGATGTACTACGGGGTACAACAGATGATCATCAAGTTTCACCCAAATCTCTCAGGGACAAACCTGGATGCCGCAGCGGTGGGCAAGACAGCCTAAGAAATTAAGTCATTCAGTGGGTCATTACAGGAAACCCTCTCCCACTGCAGAACCACCTCACCAGCACTCAGCATTTTCCTATGGGTCATTAATAACAATTCATAGGAAGTTACTGAGACAGCTGGTGAGACAGCCCAGGACAAAATGCCAACAGTACATTTTCCTCAAAAGCTGTTCACAATCCAGACAAAATTGAAGGGATGCCCATTTGAGGGAAGAAACCCATCCAAAAACTTACTTCCTCAAAAACACCCCTCACATTAAGAAGGGTACAAAAGGGGAACTACATGTCTGGGAGGCTTATGGAGTCCTCAGTCCAATCAGATGCCCAAACAGACACAGCTCTGATGCCCTCCATCTGCAACTGGCAAGGACGTCGTCACCTATCCCGAGGCCCATCTTAGCTCCACTCTCTCAGTTTTCACTCATTTCAGAACTAGAACGAAGCCACAAATCCTGTTAGACCTCCAGGTAATAAGAACTAAAACAACTCATTAGCCTAGTGGCCCAGTCACCATGGCACGCTACCATGCTGCACCACCCTAGCACCCTGCTCTCTATCCTCAATATAGTACAAGGTCTCTGTTCTAATTCTCAAATCCCTCCAGAGGACTGAGTCTAGGAGCCTCTTGAGATGCAGCCATGACCACAACCGTTTAGGAAGCCTGCGCTCTATGGCAGGGACTAGTAAAAAGAGACAGAATTTTTCACAGCCAGAAAAGGCCTCACTCCCGCCATGGACAAGGGTGCTCTTGGGCCCCACTACTTCTAGAATTAATGCAATGTTCAGCTTCTCTCCACAACTGGTGCATGCACACCTGGATTTTTGAGACAAATACCGCTATGCAACAGCACTGTACTGCCTGCATGAACAGATTCAGTAGTTTGATAAAATTAGTAAGAGAGGAACATGCCCGCGCAAAGTAAAGGCCTACTGAACTAAAATTTGAATGGTGAATGTAAGGTAGAGCAGTATTCGGATGACTGACCTTTGACATGGAGGATATTTGTTTTTTGTTAATTAGGCAGCAGAGCAATAAATTTTGTGATGCGTCAGCTTATTGGCATTGGAATGTATTTTGACTAGAAAGAAAATATGCTTTGATATAACTGATATAATTCATGAGAAATTATATGTTGACTTTGAGAATATTCATTATATATCTACAAGATTAAGTAAAGATGGCATTATAATTTAATGTCATTGTGATGTGAAAAACAAAGTCATATTAAACAAAGGGATTAGAGCATCCTGAGTTTACTGGGTGGTGTCATATATTCCACGTATAGTTAACCAAATAAGATGCGAATTAGCTGGTTTGGAGTCAAAGAGGAAGTTAATAAAGGTTCATTTGAACAGTTCTCCAGGATGACAGCTTGATGTCTGTCATTTGTCTTGCTTCTGCTATGCTTGTTAAAGTTGTTTGTTAGAACTGATTTTGATTTTAGCAATAAAGAGCGCTTGCGTTTTGTTTTTTGCTGTGCAAATACAAATCCTTCCAGTGACTTTTATGTGACTTTTTTAGAGGAGCAAACTCTCAAACTTTAACAAACCTAGCAAAGAAATTGGAAACCTTACTAAGCAATTCTTGAAAGCAACACACAAAAGGGAAAAGCAGGCACAAGCATTTTGAAGCAGATGCACAGAAGAACGCTGCACCAGAAGCATTTCCCAAAGCAGTATTCAACAGAGGGAAAATGTCTACACCACGTAGCTTTCGGTATCGCTGCTTCTGTCGGAAACTGGTCCGGCAATGCATTGGCATAGTAGTCTTACAGGGTTTTTAGTGGCTGCCCTGGCTTTTATTTCACTACACTGCTTTGTAACATACTCGCATTTCATAGCGAATATTTGCCTTGCAAGGGAACTCTTAAGCAGCACCATCTTGGCAAAAACATGAACTGTGAAAACTGGGCCCACGTTAAATGAAAGCTCTCAGGAGTAGAAGCAGTTTAACCACAATCAGTATGAGACACGGCTAGTAAATTTCATAAAGAAATGACTTAATGCTGCTTCTAACTTAATTACTTCTTACTCGAGGATAGTAGCAAATATCAACATGAGAACTTTGAAAGCCAAAGTAGAGCAGAGCCCATGTGAACAGCAGTTAAACACAGGCCAGTCAGTCCTAAGCAACAGGTAAGTGCCATTCCAAAGCAGGCCCGGGAAGAGCTGCTGCAGGTGCAGGCTTCAAGGTGATCAAACTAGGAAAGAAACACGTATAGGCAAACCCCCAAGACCAAGCAATTATCCCTTAGCGGCTTGTTGATTTACCAGCGGTCAATGAGTCTTCACAAACTGGCTGTTGCTCAGCTCATTACAACCACTTGTCCTTCAGTAATCCTAAGTAAAACTGACCTCCTTTATCTGATTGTATATTTTCTCATGGTAACTAAAAATGACACGCAACTGCAGAAAAACATTTGTGCGGTCATAGCTCACGTGATAACCACCATGAACTTCATCAGGGAATGTATATGAATTCTAGTCATAGCTGGGCTGATATTTGTAATCTAATAAAAACCCACTGAGTCCAGAAGTTTGATGGATTAATAGCAAAAACAGGAGTTTCACCTACATTTCATGAAAAAATAACTGTGTTATGCATATACTGAGGCAGCCTTGATAGGTCACACGCCAGGCTCAAATTTAATTTAAGAAATATCTAATTGCCACTAGATGGCATATGTCAATTACTAATCTCTGTTGGAATTGGGTTTTTTAAACTAGATATTCCCTCCCTTTGCTAACATAATACTTTATCAGCATGTTTGCTTTCCATTTTTAAAATCAGACAGCTTAAAAAAAAGCACAGAGAAATAAAAAGAACCTTAACTAAAAACAGACCATCTGCCAGTGAAAATCTAGCTTGATTCTATCACATCTACAACCAAACTAGGTTAATAACCAGCATCACAGATGGTTTCTTTATACAAATATGTGCATCTCCCCACAGTGACTCTTTCAGCTGCTTCCCGAAACTGCTGGCACTGCTTTACCTCGTCTCCTAGGTGACAGCGGTCTTACACTCAGCCTGGACATTATGCAGCTGGAACGGATTTCAGAAGATGTCATCCCCTGCCTGTGGCAGCTTCCAATACCAACAAGGGATGCAGCGGTGGACAGCCATGTCTATACCAAAGAATAGGAATAGATGAATATTAATACATTCTCTTGCAGCTGGCTTCTTTTCCTCAGAAGATCAAATTTGTTGAAGAGTACTACTTCCGACTTGCCCAAATCCCCTGATAAGGCTAAGCAGTGAACATTGTGGCGGCCTTGCTACTACAGGACTGAAGTCAGAGGAATAAAAATGGAGTCTGATCTTTCCGCAGCATTCAACAGTAAGAACTGGCAGAAGTCACTGAAATACAAAGAACAAAAACATCACGGACTCCCATGCTCATTCTCCCTCCGCAGTTGTGTGTCAGGGTCTCCTAGATCACAAGTACTATTTCCTAATTGTTTCTCCACACTCACTTGGGATAAACAGTTGAGCTGGATTCTTCTCTTCTTCTATTATCAGCAATGAAATGCATTTCAGACCAAACTGCAAACCTGGCTGCAAACCTATTGCTACCACTTTGAAAACAGGTACCTGCTGCCTTCCAAGACGCTCCGTGGGCATCAAAGCTGCTAAACAAAGATACAGAGAACACACAGAATTCAATTCACTTCTTTATGACTGAGCAAGGGTTCTGCCTCAGTTGTCTGATAATCTGAAGAAGTTAAATTAATTATTTTAAGTTATAATGGCTAAGAGCATGCTGTTTTCTGTAGCACAGGGCGTAAGCCTTCCCATGCGCTAACTCAGGTTATGGCAGTAGGGCTTAGCGTATGGTAGACTGGTCCACGCTCTAAACTGCTTAGACCTGACTTTTGTTGGTACCCATATGGCTCATTCTCATTTACAGTACAAGGCAGGCTCAAAGACTGACATTAAAAACAGTTTAACATTATCAAAATGTATAATAAAAAATACTTGAAAGAATACCCTAAGAAATAGGGTAACAGGGGAGAGCACAGGACTGGGATCCACAGAATCAGTGCTCCATTCATGGCTACGACACTGATTTAAGTGATACAAATCAAACCACTACCTACATCTAGACCCCAATTTATGAGCACCTGTAAAATGAGAGTCAACATGCTGATGTCTGAAATCACCTTGAAATCTGCTAGTGAAGACATCTGTTTAAATACTGGGTACTACTACAAGTTAATTGAAACCAACATCTTTCTTATGGTCTACTTTACAATCAGATGTCAAGTTCTTTGATGCCTGGGGCTCAACAGCTGATCATAAGATGGCAGGCACTAGCCTACTGTATGATTGAATCACCTGCTGCTGTTAGCAGTGTGGCATTTTGGAAAGAGTCCATTTAATTTGTGAAATAACCAGGAAACTGGAAATAAAAGTAACTGCCTTCATAAAAATAGTGTTTTAAAATGGAGATACAGAGTATGTAAGGTCTTAAGAAGCCAACTGTCTATAATCTGTCAGTGCAACTATATAAACACTGATTTCGGATATGGAAACAGGATAAGGAGTATCCACTCACCATTCACTTCCTTCTTTCAGTTCACTGAAAAGATGTTTTCTAATGATGAGAAAAAACAATCCTTGCCATCTACTCCAGACAGGAAGGTAAACTGGATTTATTAATGACAAATTATAGTTGCAAACTAAATTAATCAGATGTGTACAGTGGCAAATTTTTAATTTAAAACTTCCCCATTTAAAACCCAACTTCTAGAAGTCTGACCACACAAACACACACAGATAAATCTTTATTTTTAGAGGAAAAGGAAAGAGAAATTGCCAGAATAGTTTCATTTGTGTTTTTTATATATAAAAGAAGGCACATGTGTACATTTTCTATTCATGAACTTGTTTTACAGGTGCCTTGAAACAAACGGTGAACAACTGGTTACAATATTAAGCAACATTTCACTTGGAGTTTACATTAACCGTGGCTGGGATGTTGTCCCATATCATTACTCCTACGCTTGGAGCTTACATTAACCGTGGCTGGGATGTCGTCCCATATCATCACTCCTAACTGTTGGCTGGCCAGTAGAAGGCTGCCTTCTTGGTCAAATTTCAGCACCCAATACCTAAAGATTTCACTTACTTTAAAGCAAAACATATGCCACTATGATGCTTCTTAGAAATTTGGTAGAACATTATTTTCTCAAGAAAAAGGGATTTTCTTTAAAATAGATTAAATTGTTAACTGTAATATAACTTTTTGAGAATATTTTAATGAAAATAGAGAACCAACTAGAATCTTCTGTTCAGATTCAGTCAAGAAGACAATGTTCAAATGACAATTCTAATTCTAGGGATAGTATAAAAATGGTAGATTCACCCCCTTTTTAAAAAAATGCCATGCTTTGCCATTCCAGGATATCAGGAACAACTAATTATGCATAGTTTGTTTACCCGTTGCTTTAAGTCTCAATTAGGCATTTCCTTCACATCTTAAATAAAGGAATAAATAACTCAAGAATTACAATAAAAATGAAACAAACAATAAAGAAAGGCTTGAGATTTTTGAGTTCACAGTAGAAGTCCCTTCCTTCTTACAGCTTTCCTTTGCAGGACTTTAACAGACAGTGGGTAAAATTCTTCCAAGCACCCAAGCTACTTTGGCACCTATCTGCCATTTACAGAAGGAATTTAAAGCACTTCTGAAAAACAGGATCAAATCTCCTATGTAAAACACAGTGACTTCGAAAATTTTGCCCAGTGCTACCTTAGCCTAAGAGAAGCCTAATTCCTTTCACTGATTTTGAATTCAATCCCATCTTACAGTGCACATTAAATCAAAATTACATAGCAAGTCAACATCAGGATAATGCAGTAATCTAATCCTAGCTTCACAAAAAGCCCAACAACAAAAAAAACACTTAGATCTGCCTAGATTTATCATTAGTAGTGATAACTAGTAACTGCTATACTGAAGAATTGCAACTGTCAGAGTGAAATTCATTACAATGTAAAAAGCCTGCTCTAGAAAGGTTTATTCTCCATACTGTATCTCTGCTCTTAGCTCTTTTGAGAGGTAATTTATCAGCACTCCTGTCAACTTTTGCTGGAGACTAGCATCTCCCATTACAAGAGCAGTCAGCTGAACAATATCAGTCCAGTCTAAGCTCCTGAGAATAACAAGGGCTTCATCATAGAGTTTCTGCCGCTCAGCGGGAGGCAATTCCAGTAAGATCTGAGGGACCGGCCTGAACTGTCCAGTAGTCATCCAGGCACCAAGCAATCCACCAAATGCTCCCCCTAGAAAATAAAGAGAGATGTTACCCTCTGCTCACTTAATGTTTCAACTTGAAATTCTATCCAGAGGCTGCATCAGTAACATTCCCACCTTTATTAGAAATCAATGCAGAGCTGTAGGGACAAGGCACATGTACTTTTAACTAGGTTTATACAAGATCTTCAAAGCACCAAGGACTTTTAAGGCTTTTTCATTCAACAGCAATCACAAAGAAACTCATTACAAAATTTGAACTAATAGCTTGAAGCCCTAACTCGGAAATAAAACAGCATTCCTTAGGGCATTAGTCTCTTTAGGATAAGTTGTATTACTAAATAAAACCCTACCCAAAGAAAAGTACGTAACCAATAGCTGCCTTATCAGCGCCCAGCCACGTGTAATCTCTTAATAGAGACTCCCAGAATGAACCAAGTTTTCTGCTTCTGTAAAATGGGGCATTGCAGCCTTCCACTCCTGTGGAGTCAACACCTCAGAAGGTAACACCACAGAGAGTAACAAACATCAATTTTGTGGGGGTATTTAGACATATTCAGCCTTTCACCTACCAAATCAATATCCCCTTATCAGCCAAGAAATACTCTCATAAGCAGAGTGGTTCCAGGTCATCAAGACAACAGCAGAGGGATCCTGTATAGCTGATGTGATGATTATGACTGCTACTGCTGAGAAATCAGCGTTACAGTCCCATCCGGGTATTCTCCTTCAAAGAGTTACCAGGTCAACTTGCCAAGCAGTGCTTTTACAGAGGAAGTTCATACAATTTACAACACAGCCCAGAGACACAGATATTGTGATGACAGGAGCACCTTCACAACTGAAAAGCGTCAGAACTCACTCTCTACTTCCAAAACTCCCATCCTCAAACAGTACTCCTAAAAAGTGATTTATATACGCTCACTAGGATGCAATTTTTCATTAGACAAAAATTCCTTAATCTGCACATTTTATTGAGTTCGCAATTTTTCCTGTGACATCAGTGAAATACTTGAAAGCCTACAATGGCTGAATTCATCTGCAAGAAACCTTTATGAGAATACTTGGTATAGGGGGACTTAATGCAAAAGTCAGTAGAAATACTAGCGTACAAGTTTCTAGCTTGAGAAGATTTCTTACATGATCCCTTCCTTTCCTTCCAAGTAACACATCCCCAATCCATTCCTCTCAAGGTGACCAACCCTCAGAAGGCACGATATGCTGCACGTTTCTTAGGCGGCTGCTGCAGAAGGAAGGTAACTTACCCCTTAACTCTTTTTGTGGAAGGCCGCAATAAAGACGATCCTTGCTATGCAGTCACAGATCTACCTAGGCTGTTTGTGCAAGTCAAAGTACATTTCATTGCAGATGTGTGCTAAAGCCCACTACAGTCCCTGGGACATTTACTTCCACAATTTTAGAGTTAAATGAGGATCTTCTGATTTTGCTGCAGAGTAGCTGCAGCACAGCTTTCCCCCCCACCCCAGTAACAGGTATAGTTGTCCCAGTGTCTCTATTACCAGTAGCTGAAGAACACTGAACTTGACTTGGAGATACAGAAAACTAAGACAGCTTTAAAAAACACTGAAACAAAGGAGAAAACACATCCAAGAGTAACTTCAGTGCTTCTAACCATCTCACTCAAGAAGGTGGCTAATTACATTCTTAATTGTACTTCTAATTCAGAGCTTATGAATTCCTTAGAAATGTTTACTTTGAGCTCTTAGTTCTTACTGACTTCAGCCATACACTTGTCCAAATAATTATTTTCTGCTATTAATTAAGCACTGTATGTGTAACAGGTATAAACACACAGCTTTATTTTGTGCTTTCTGTTACAGTTCCTCCAGATTATTTCTTTTTGTTTGTTTGTTTGTTTTGTTATTCAAACTTTGCTAAAACTCAGGCAGGGGTACGGCATCTATTGTGATACCAATATGCCCTTGAAATTTGTGGAACTGCTTCCAAGAGTAAAACTGCAGGCATGACTCCAGCATTCAAGGACTGATGCCCACATAACCTCAATAACAAGATGGTTTTCAAAACAGACAACACTGTGTAGTTCAAGAGATACAGAGTAGAGACAGCTCTTCACTATTAGACTCAGACTTTCTGTAATTTTTAAATACATGAAAAAAAGCAAAGTGACAAGGAATAATACATTCTGGAGAAAAAGACCAAGTTCACCCAGAAGTGGAAAGCAAGTAGTTTTAAAAGAAAGAAACTAACATTATTTTTAAAGAGCTCGTTCGGAAGACGATCCTGTCCCCTTGCTAAGGTTTGACTGAGAATACTTACTTTCCCTTTACACTCCAATTTCCTTTCCTCTGTACCACTGGGAACCAACGTTTTTGCACCTGAGCTCAACTGCTCTTCACCCTCCCTGACTGCTCCCACTGTCTCTCTCGCTCCTCTGCCACTGGCTCCCCCACCCTCCTCTTCACCCCCCTGCTACAATGCGGGAGCAGAATCCACGCCAACAAGCTCGGAGCCTAAGTTTGTTCTCTGTTTTGTGCCACACCTCTGACACGGGTGTATCTCAGCAGATGGGAACCAGCACTCTACCCATCAAAAGCAGATGGGTTTTCAACAGTTTGTTCAAAGGGTCCCAGAGGAATCAAAATCTAAACCTCAAAATGTCTGCATGGTTTCCTGTTTTTGACAAAGCAGTTGAAGTCAAAAGGTTACTATCCCTCTAGAAAGAAACACTGGCACATGCCTTAATGACGCGCACCTTGTTAAAAACACTCCTATAAAAAGCTGAAATACAAAATGGCATCTTGTAATGGCTCAGTAACATGAAACGTCACCACTGCCTGCCCTGCCCTTCAACAGTCAGTGCGTTAACCGCTCGTCTTAAAGACGAGACACACTTACCTACAGCAATGCCAGGGGGACCCCCCACCAAGCCCCCAATAAAGGCCGTTGCACCCGCCAGCAGCGCTCCTCGACCTGAGTGTCTGACAGCAGCTTTCATTCCCTTCTCCTGAGAGAGGTGGCAGAACAGTTGCATCACATCATCAACCTTGATGGGCATCGTGGCTCGTTAGGATCCTGAAAAAGATGCTGTAAGTCATGTTTTGATCACTGCAACAGGGACTAAATCCTGCTGCTAAACTTCTTTTTTTTTTTTTTTTTTAAAAAAAACACAGTTCAGGAATCCATGAGCCTAAAAAGGCAGCAGCACAGTCAATACAGGAGACAAATCACTTTCTCCTTCCTTTCAGGGCAAGCCAAAAGATACACCCATCTGTAAACAGCTAAAGGTTAGTGAAGTAGCAAATGAAATCATGAAACAGACCAGAGAAATCTGTATTTGTGACAAATTCAGAGGCCTGAACAGGGACAAGTAACAGCAATTAAAGATTTAAGAAAGAGTCTGTCTAATTTTACAGTGTATTGTCTTTGCCTCAAGCAATTGCCATGTTCATTCTGCACTGCACGTGGCTCCAGGGAAAAGACAAAGCAGGGCCTCATTCTAACATAACGAGTGGATTATAATTGCCAATCTGACAGGTGTTTCCTCCTTGTCATAATTCTTCCAGTAAATCAGCTGTTTATTTTCACACACCTATTCTTTTCCTTGCATCTTGTAAGAAGTTTAACACTTCTAGGCTGATGTCTGCAGGGAGGAGACCGGGACAGCTGAACACAGGACTGATGATAACAAGCAGGAAGAGTCAGGAGGAAGGAAAGAGATTTGAAAAGGAGTTGGAACAGACCACTGGGACTGGATGTAAATGAGGGGGCGAGAAAGACAGGGAAGCAGAAATGCAGGGATGTAGGTGGGAGTAGAGACAGGACATAGACCAGACAAGCGAAACAATGCTCATTTGTACAATCAGGCAGAGGCAGGAGAGGGACAAGTACAGGAGGAACGCATCCTTGGAAACATCTTTTCAGTAGAGCATAAGGTAGCAACCTCTCAGGGTATTCAGTTTTCCCAGTTGGAAGTTAAATGGTCCACATGAAACTCAGTAGGAGCCAGGAGATGCTGCCGCTCAAAGCAGCAACATGCTGCAGATCAGCAGGACCTTGGCCCGTATGAAGCTCCAGGTTTCTGCCGAGTTACACTAAAGGAGCCCCGAACAGAACCACTGCCTCCCATGGATCTCTCTCTCAGCCCATTCCATGCAATTAGAAATCTGCTAGTGTGGGGGAGGTTGCTGACATCTGAACCAGACACTGACCTCTTTGTAACCAAACCCCTTATAACTCACTCGCTTGCTGTCACCAACAACCTAAATGCCCTTCTTTCCACAGAAACCCACGCAGAGTGTGGCTAACCACTGTTACTTTCGGTGCTACCGGTGACAAACGCAGCAGTGGAGCCTACAAAGATGAAGGTTACAATCCTGAACGCTACAGGACCAGAAAGCAAAGCTATTACACAGAACAAAACCTGTGACAAAAAAAAAAGCAGGGATATTTCAGAATTAAGAAACAGTAATATAGGCCATGATTTTGGAATCCCTGCATATTATATATTCTTTTCCATGGGTTGTCTGCCTTGCCACAGCAGAAGAGTCAGGGAGTATAATAAAAGAAGACATATGCCTCATGTTGCAGATGTCAGCAAGTACCGTGAGCAAGGCAAGAGACTATATGAAGAGACAGTATAGCTTCCCTGCTAAAAAAAAAAAAAAAAAAAAAAAGGCACTTTAACTGCAGAATTGTAATTCTTGGTAGCTTTCCCTTCATAAGCACCTTTCTATGAGCACAGTGAGTTAAAAAACCATAAACCAAAGGCTTTAATTACAGAAAAGATTATAATCTGGCTCTGATAGGTAGGTATACACTTATTGTATTCATTCACAGTGTTGTCCCATGTATTATTGATGATACAAGAAAACCATTAATTCAGTAACATCTGCAGAGTGAACAACGTTGTAGGAGCAAGCCCAAAAAAAAAAAAAAAAAATGCTGCCCTGAAAAATTAGGTTCTATCCCTAATGTTTGTGTGCTGTTAAGCCAGTCACTTAAATTCAACTTTTTAGAAATGGGGTTACCTATCAGTCACTTTTCCAGGCATTCATCATATGATCTTTGACCTTTTTTGCAAATCAAAATAACAACCGTATTCAAATGCAGCTCTGCTTGAATAGCGTTACATAATGCTAAGCACTGAAAAAAATCCATTCTGTGGCTTCAAGTTTGGTGAAGCAAGTGGATACTCTTGACTTTAACAACTATTTTAATGATAGAACAGACAGAGAGAGATATTAAAAACATCCTCACCTCATACGGCAAAAACAAGTTCAATATTTACAAAACACACTGATTTCAGACCAAAGAAAACAGAGCAAAACCCATGAAGTGAAATTAGTAAGTTCCATCCAAATAGCAGAGTTTGAGAAGTGTCCAGTAAATAAGGCCTAAGGACTTATCACTGAATAGTCAGAAAAAGAATACTTATTCATTAAGCAAATAATACCTTTCATTCTGCATACCAAATGAGCAGAAGTCTTGCAGGAAAAAAAGTATGTAATATGGTAAGCAAATTCATCACATATACGCAAAAGGCACAGAATTATTGTTGTACATACGTTGTTGTATATTACGTGTTGTAACCTTAGTGCTAGCTAATGCTGAGTGTTTGACTTTCCAGTCTCTGGAATACTCTTTAAACACAGTGCATGTGCCAATACTTCATCAGCCCAAGTCAACTTATCTTCATTTTGCTTGAACAGATCTCCCGAGTGTAAAGTGAAGTGGTATCCACAATTCTTCATATTAAAAATTAAGTACTTGGAAAGTGAAAACTTTCTTTGCACTGAAACGGCTGACTCCAAAACCATCTGTCACCGCAGTACCCACGCACCACTGACACCAAACAAAACCGTGTCCTCTGGGCAAGGGATCATATACTTTTCATAGCTGCACAGACACCCCATAGGAAGTTCTTCAAATGGCTGCATTCCTCTCTCTACTTAATCTTCATGCCAATCTAATGAAAACATCCAAGTTCTTAGTCTTACCAGAGGTGCCGGTTTTTTTTTTTTTTTAAGGCTTCTGATACAGCAGTGTATGAGAACACTGGTGCATGTTAGCTACTGACAGCAAAGTGACACAATCTGCTTCTAGAGTTAAATATTTCTTTGTGAGCTCATTTGAGAATATTTAAGCTCAAAGTAATAAACACATGGCTGATCTGTTCTTTCCAGTGCAGAAGAAAAAAACCTCAAAAACACAACTTGTAGAACTCACACTACCAAGCCTGGTAACATTCAGAAGTGAAAAGATTAAATACTCGTTTTTACTTACTTAACGAAAGGTAACTAAAGGATGCCTCATCATTTAAGAACTGGAAATCCTATTCACACTCCTGCTGTAAATTTCAGTTCCTGCTTTCCCAGAAGGAAGCTCATTCATGCTTGTCCTGCATCAACTTTCTGTAGCGTTTGATCCCATCAATCACGAAGTAGCACAATCTCAGACCAAACTGCCTAAGTACTGAAACGAATTAGGTTCTTCCCTCCGGGCTAAATCCAAAGCACACTTCACGCAAAGTCCTCCAGTATGAAGGCTTTGCAGCACTGACAAGACAACGCGAGTCGGAGCGCCGATAGTAAAGCCAGGACTAGCTGAGGGTCTCTTTGAGGATCAAAGCTAACCATACGACCCTGGTTTTCTTTACATCTAACAGAAGTCACGGTCTTGATGAGCTATCAAAACTAGGCTCAGGAAATTCTCCTCGCAGACAGATTTTGTCTGTCTTATAACACATTCTGTTATGGAAGATCTATTTCTCCTACATCCAGTAAGCTGCTTAACAACTCCTTTGTCCAGCTGATTTCCTCTCAATTTTTCCAGTATCACTGTATGCTTTGAGAACTAAGACAGAGGGAAGAAAGGCAGGTTAATTCCATTTGCACGTAATATACACTGTTCTCAGACAGGGCTGCTTACAGTCATTCCTTGTGTTGTGAAGGGATAAAGAACAGATTCACTACTTCGATTTTAAAATATTTGATCAGCACTCAAATGACAATGATAGAGATTCTCTAACTACCCAGCTGGATAGACCTGCAACAACCGTTAGCGTCCATCGTAACCCCATGGATCTGCATCTAAGACGACTTAATGAGAGAAAGCTTCAGAAGGCTCAAAAAAATCCATGAGAAGTTGAAAAAATTGTGTTCTGCCAGACAGAAGTATCAGCATATTCTAACACAATTTGAAAATGGGACTGTTTACCTCACGGGTATAGAGAATCAACCCACAAGAAATACAAGATTACCCATCTTTTCTCTCCTGCACCCGATCTAAAACTTTTTTTCTAGTGTAATTCAGCCTCTTGCTCACCTGAGTTCAGAAGTAACAGTCTGTTTCCTCCCATCAAGCTGACTTCCACAATTTTCTAAAGTAATTTAATTGTAACATATATGAAGTGAAGTTTCATGAGCAAAGAAAGCCAAATGAGAAGCATCAGGTTTCTGCAGTATGTAGCAGTTGGCTGTCCACAGAAATCAATCTGCATCACTCTTTTACCACGCTGGCAAGTCAATAGTAAGAATGAAAGTTTCTCATAATGATGTGTCACCTCAAGCAGTGCAAAGGTGAACAACTACTCCAGGGTTTCTTTGAATAAACAAACTCTTTCACGGCTAGATTCAAAGTGCAATTAGCTTAAGGGTGAAGAAAAAACAGGCCATAACGAAAACAGCAGCCATGCTGCTGTCTGGTGGCATACAAAGCATGGCAAAAATACAAATTCATAACATATATTAGTCTCAAGCTAAAGCAGAAACCTATTGGAAATCAAGCAACTTTAAGTATTTCTCCATAGTAATCTATTTTATGGCTTTACTCCCCTCATAACCTTTCCAAAGGGAATTTTCATTTGGAAAACTAATACTTGGGGGGGAGGGGGGGTTGCGGGGGGTGTGTGTGGCTTGACTGAACAAGGTTCCTTGGCAAAGCAGTAAATTTTATTCTTAATTCTAAATGTATCACACCCAAAATTCCCAAAGATATTACAATAGACACTCATTTCCTTCCAACTCCTACAAGTATTTCTACGATATCTTGGCAGATTAACCTACACATGTCATGCATCGGGTGCTTGCATTCAGTAAGCAGGACTTAAGGTATAGTTAACTATATTTATAGGGTGGAGTTTTTTTTAAGTGTACATATAGAGCACAAGATGGACCCATCAAAACACAGAACATTTTAAAACAAACACACAATTAAAACAATTACCCTACAGGTTCCTATATTTAGCACAAGCATGTGGCTGAGCAGGCCAAAGTTCCAGAAATCTTTTAAGAAGTCAGACCATTACTAATTTTTTTTGATAATTTCAGTTTCCGATGAAGGACCAAAGTGCTCAAACAGATGACTACCAGTAAGGACATATTTTTTAACCATACACTGCTGGCTAGGAAAGCAGTTCATTTTAACAATACATTAGCAAGTTGCAGCACAGAGAATTTCACAAGCGGTCAAAAAAAAAAAAATCAGCAGTCAGCTTGCTTCAGGCTGAGGAAATCAAACCTCCTTACAGAACTCAGCAGCTGCAAACCTAATGCTACATACACCGTTACGGTCAGCAAGAAGCCAACCGCAAGACTGAAGGAGAGAATATAAAGTTACCTTTGACATCAATCTAATGATCAGAATCGCTGGAGGATGAGGTTATGAAGATGAACCTACGTGAAAAGGTTAGTGAACTTCAAAGGAGCCAGAATCTTACCCCAGATTAAGAGGGGCTCTTATTCTTATGTGTGTCAGAGGCAGGATCAGAAGGCCACCAAAAATATTTGCAAACTTTGATTGTGTAACTGACTTGTCAACAAAAATGCAATTTGATTCTAGCTGTGAAAGTGCTGACCAGTATTTACAGATTCCGGCCAGACATGAAGAAACACGAGCAACGTAAAATACTGGATTTGCGCTAACAGAGGGGTGCAAATGTCAATGACGTACGTAAAACCGGGCCTGGCTTTCAGAGCTGCTGAGCCCCCACACTTCCTGTTGCCTTCATGCGGCACTGAGAACGCTCAGCACTTCAAACAAAAAATATCAAGTGCTTTGGAAAACATACCTGAGAAACCAAGCCTCATTGTATAACAGATCTTCTTTTTTTAATTCTATTGCTGTTCAGATTTGGCTGTGTTCCTCCTCGTTTTGTGGTCTCCCCAAAAACTCATCTGAGATGCTAGACCTTGTACTTACGTCTGGATCAATTACATGATGCTCTCTCCTTCCCTCCAGAGACCAGGTATGCAAAGTGAGCAACTCTTGCGCTATCTACCCAGCCAGAACGCCATGTGTTTGTTTCTCAGTTTTAGAACCTACAACCAACTAAACAGCACGTTCATCCAAGAACAGGATTACTACTTCCTGAGAAGTAAAATGTCACAGAAAGAATTAAAACAACAGAAGGACGACACCATATCCAACTCGATGAAAGTCCTACTAATGCAAACAACCAAAGAGGGTCTGGTCCCCAGTTGCTGCTCTGGTGTAAACCTCATTTCAGCTCTTTCCTATTTATTATTCCCATCTCATTACCTAGAGACAGGCTCCTCTCACTTCAGGGAATGACGATTTTAATACAGAAAAGCCATTTTATCCCCTGGATTCACTATTCCGCTTAAAGAAAATATTACCCCACCCCACCTCAAACCCCAACAACATCGAAACTACAGGTACTCTAACCAGTACACCACCTGGCACAGCGGTGAACTATCCTCACTGCTCCTTACAAGTTCACTTAATATACCCTTCAGCAAACATCTCTACAATATGCAAATGCACAGAACAAAAGTCATCTGTAGCTCATGAGAGCCAATCCCATCTCACGAGCAATGAAGAGACAGGTCCAAGCACGCCATCAAGAGCTAACTTTGTCTTGGTAGACATGGCACAGTGAGGACCTCCATACAACTGCTAGGAAGCATACACACGATCCATGCAGGTCTTCAGACCGAAACTCCATGACAGTAGCAAATACATACCCAAGCAGGGACATGCAGGAGATAACCCAGGAAAATTTCTTCCCGTCTCTACCTGTACACAGGTTTACTGTGTACAGCTCCATCCATACAGCAACCTTTGTGACATTTCTTACAGTAAGTATGAGATCAGCAGCCAGAACAAAAACAATCACAAAGTATTCAGCAACTGAGACAGATTGAAGAACACATCTTTACAAACTAGGGCGCACAGAAGTCTGACTCGATGATTAAACAGGCCAGAAGAACATTAATTGTTTGTACAATAGCTGAGGAGCAGGAAGGGAATCAAGATACACCTATGCAGCAGGACAGTCTCATCAACAGTCCATATGCATACTGTTAGCTTGAGTAGCATTTGTGCTCCTGAATCGTTACTTTCTGAAGTTCCTACCTTTAGACCCCAGTCTTAACATTTAAAGTCTGCAAAGCAGGTGGTGTGATTTAAATCATGGTTAGCATCAACAGTCAACATTTATTCAGATGCTAGATGCTTTCAGGTTTCAATTATGTTAGAAGATGGTAAGAAACTCATCTATTTGCTAGATGATCTGAATTCAATTAAAACACACAAAGCGTTACAGTGTTTTTTATAAGAACTGTGACCTTAAAAGAGTTGCTTACTCTCTTTTGCCCATTTATCAAAGCACTAAACTGGTTTATTTAAGAAAAGAGGCGACCGATTTACTCATCGTGTGAACAACCTACTTTTAGCAGCCTAGGAGCCAATCTTACAAGGCTCTTGGATGCCTAAAAATGCAGGTAAATAGTCAGTGGAATTAAGGAAAACGCTTGCTTTCCACTGAGATTAAAGGAAATCAGGCACCCACCCTGTCGCGGCGCTCCTGAATATCCCACTTACCTGGGCTCCCGAGCCAGTATCTGTGAAAGATTAGCCAGGAGTCCTCCAAAGCTTAAAAACAACGGTTAGACCTGCTCAACTTCCTTTTCAATTTACAGAGCAAGAGTGGAAACTTCTCATTTCTGAGTCACCTTCTCCCTTTTGAAAGCACTAATCCAGAATGAAGGAAAAGCAGTCATTTCGCATCAGCTAGCCCATACCGAAGCCAAAACGAAGAAGAAACCGAAACGAGAACGGACACTCGGCAAACACCGAAGCCGCTGGGGCCGCTCGACGCCTGGGCTAACCTCCCCTGACTCAGCTACGAACACACGAACTTCAGCTCGTTAAAATGGATCAAGTGCTCGCAGCGTCTGGGAAGTCATCAAAACCGTGACGAGCGCCGCGGAAGGGCTCCAGGCCTCGCCCCGGCCCCG